TCCACAGTCGAGTGTGAGAGTGCAGTCCCATGGAGCGTATCGCACGTATCGCGGATCACGCGTATCGAAAATACTGACCAATCGCGAACTTTATTTTATAATGGATTCGGCGGAACGGCTGAGTATCGAAAATAGCGGAATGTCCGCAATTGGTGATCTCCAATGAGAGCTTTGCTTTTTCAAACGCAAAGCTCTCATTGGATATCGCTCATCGCTTGTCGCGTTCAGTGTGAGAAAGTCCTACAATTTACTTCACCATATTACTTTTATTGTAAATCTCTCATAATATTATCCTTCGGGCTAACTTTCACCAATCTCCGGTTAAGTTAATCGACCGGTTATTCCATTGGAATTGATCAATTGCATTTGTTATTAAATTTGTGGACAAATTGCAATGAATTGGTTAATTCCAATGGAATAATAGGCCGATTTAACCGGAAGTTGGTGAAAGTCCATCCTTAAGCGAGATAGATCTATTCGCGGGAGAGACAGAGAAAGAAAGAATGAGAAACTCAAGTACAAAAAAGTGTATTGAAGTGCAAGCAACGCAAATAAATCCATTCGAAAATAGAATATTATATCACGATTCCAATCCCTTATCCCGTAACCTAATTTCGTGGAATGTTTATTTATCTTTTTATTGATACGAGTGCGAATGATTTTAATATGTTTGTGAAATGATTCCTACGCAATAAATGTCAGCTCATTCGTTACCATTTACATGTGATTAGCTTGTTACGTATCTTGCGCAAATCGAATAATCTTAATTCGTTTTATTTTATTTTGCCGGGATGATGTAATTATGGTATGATATAAACTGATTAATGTGTAGCAGTCACATTAATTATGCATTAAATTCGTATTTTGTATGTAGTAGTCCAATTGTTAGAAATAAATGATAATATTTTGAGATTTATTTAGTGTATATTTTTAAAAACTTTCAATATTTTGAAAACGAAATTAAGTGAAGTAGCTATTGTAATAATTATAAACACATTTTTTATTTTAGGCAATGAATATCACGAGAGGAATAGGGCTGGCTTTTGGTAGAATAAATCATCTGAAGGAACGCTTATTCTCACCTAGAAACTTGGTGTATACAAATATAGGGATATCAGTCTCTCTTTCTGCTGTAGGAGATATTTTAGAGCAACATTACGAGATAATAAAGGTTTACAAATCAAATTTTTAATATTTCATCAAGTTTTATGATATTTGATAAATAATTCATTTATATATTAGGGTGAATGGGATAAATGGTGTTCTACCAGGACAAGGAATATGGCCATATCTGGCATGTCTGTTGGAATAGTTTGTCATTATTGGTACAATTTCTTGGATGCTAGAATGGTTGGACGTACCATTAGTATAGTTTTAAAAAAAGTAATATTAGATCAATTGATTTGCTCGCCTCTTTGTATAAGTATTTTTTTTTGACACTGGCTTTATTGGAGAACAGCAATTTGACAGAATTTATGAATGAAATTAGAAAAAAGCACATAGATTATATTTAGCCGAATGGATCATTTGGCCTCCAGCACAAATCATTAACTTTTATTTCCTTCCCACTCAATACAGGGTATTTTACGATAGTATGATATCTCTTGGTTATGATATATATACTAGTCATGTAAAATATGAAGCAAAAACTAATAGTTAATATTATTTTTAATTAGTAAAAAAATATACAAAATTACAAATAGAATGTAACAAATTGAAATTTCTTTTCTTAGTATCACTAAAGAAAGAAAAAATCCTTTGCATTTGGATTTAATAATCTTTATGTAATATACACATACACACATACACACACGCGCGCGCGCGCGCGCGCTACTTGTAGAATAAAATCAGAAGCTTAATCTACATATAGGTTTATCTATTTGAATATATTTTATATATACTATACATGTATATATGTCGATGTAAATTTGTTAAAGTTGTAAATGTATAAATTATTCGAAATAAAATACAAAAATATAAATAAGTAATCAAAGTATTTTTAGTTCGATTTCAATCAAACTGACATTAAAACCTAGTAAAAAAATATTATTTTACAATAGCCTTTGAAACACATTACGATGGTATATAATTCTTTATTTTTCTTTTTTTTATCACTTATAAGAAAAACAATACATATCTGTTTATTTATTCAACCTTAATGTAATTAATGTTTTCTTTAATTGGCCTATATATGACATGAAGTTTTTCGCGTATATGTTAATATTGTTAATATCTTTGATTTTATATGAGGATGATATTTCTAATTTTTAAAACATTCCATCATGAATGCCAATAGGTACCAACACAGCTATAAATAATAGCAAATTGCGTGCTACTAATTTCCAATCATTCGGTACTGCGTATGGTGTCAAAACGTGTGTCAATCTATGAATCTAAAAAATAAAATCTCCATAAGAAAAAATAATTTTTATAATTGCTGTAGAAATCATGATTTTTAATCTTCTAATAATGCAAAAAATAATCGGTGTTTACTTCGTGACTAGCACAGATGAAAATAAATGATGTAACCAACAGATTCAGTACTGGAAATCTGGGTAATAGCACAAGCACTCCGTGTGAATCTGCTGCCAGCCATATATGTCCTTGTGCGACCAAAGTCTCCAAACTTATTCTACCCAATCCAGCTAAAAGTGCAGAATGCTTTCCCCGTAATGCCAATGACGCATTTCGAAGAGCAATATATCCTATAATCTAACAAGAAATAACATTAATGATAAAGTAACAAAAAAATTGGCAAAAATAAAATGATAAACATAATAAAGATGAATAGATGATAAGAGAAAGTTAAATTAAAATAGTTTACCGGAATAAACGCGACGTAAGAATGAATTTCTTCGCACTCTGATACAGAGTGGCACAAAATTGTAAAAGTTGTATATGCAATTAAAGAAACCAATGCTAGTACAGAAGATAAAGCGGTGCCTGGAATATGGTCTATTCTTTGAAGAGCGACAAGACCGGCTCCAAAAGTCAAACCCCAGACTACGCTATATCTGTCAACTCTCCAACGAGACCACCATTCGCGGATATCGTCATCAGTTGTCACGAATAATGCTTTCCAGGGTCTCGTGACGAAAACTTTTTCAAAAAACACCTGCGCTAATAAGCCGTGTTATATATTTTGCAATTTGTTAAATATATTTGCCAATAAGTTGTTTATTACCTCTGACATATATAGTATGGTAATTATCGATACAAGACCCAAAAGTTTTAGAGCAAAATATAGCAAAGCTCTAGGTCCGTATTCTGCTAAACTACCAGAATATATTCTGGGTGGCAACCAAGCCAGAAAATAAATCACTAAAAACCAAAATGATACTAAAGGTACGAAATGATAAAATTGATATGGCCTGTTCATGCAAAGGCATAAGGATACTGTCAACAAGTTTAATCTAAACATGACCTGAAACACAACAATTTAGATTTAACTTTAAGCTAAAATATAATTTTAATAATTTGAGTTTACGAATTATACAGTCGTTCGGTTCCAATACTTACTCTGGCAAATCTAACGAGAGATACGTCACCAGTCTGCCAAAAATAATAAAAGTGACCATATCCAGACAGAAATAAGTAGGCAGAATTTATTAATCTTAAATACATATAGATCGGTAAAACATTTTTGGCACCAGTGACATGATATATGAGCACAACCGCTTGCATTAAACCTCTCCATTCATCCGTTTGTTCTCTGTTTAACACTCTTGGTCCTCTCTCGCGATCTTCAGTGAAAAATAATCCAAGAGCTAAGATATAGCCGAGTGGTAACCAAAAACTAAATTCGCTGTAATATTTATTCTCCTTCATGAAAAAATTAGTTCTACAATAAGAAAACAGAGAACAGTCAAAGTTCCGTATGTAGACAAAATTACAAATATATATAATGAAATATATAGTGAAGCAATTACTTACCTATCGCATAAATAAAAGTATGCTAATATAACAGAAAAAAGAGCTAGTGATGTAATAAGAGTATAAAAATCTTGTATTTCAGGCTGCTTAACCTGAATGACTTCTGAAATACCAGCTTCTTCCGTATCTTCTACTTCTTCGGTGATAACATGAGAATAAGATACTTCGGAACGATACTTACATAACATTCTGTACAGCCATATTCCTCCTCCAATTATTATACTATAAAAGATTATTATAAAAATTATCTTCTAAATGTGTGGGAAAAGGACATGTTATATTAACATAAAAACAAGTCAAAATATTCAATTACAATAATGCAAGCGCAAACAAGCTTAACAATTGTAGAGTAGTTGCCGGCTCAGGATAACTACAACAACTGCCATCATCGAAATTCATATGATCGTTGCAGTATGTGTTTAATAGTATCTGAACTTTATGACGAAGTGATAATGGACTCGCCAAATAACCATCCGGGCTTTGTTCAAGAATACCTGCACCGACTAATTTACTACTATGCCATATACGAGCCTCACTATGGGACAATATCTGTATGCAGTGTGATCATAGAATATTTATCTTTTCCCTTGTATCATCAGTCATAAATTACATATCGTCAACCTTTTGTTACCTTCTCGGCTGCTTTGTTGCACAAGTTGATCTGTTTGTTGTCCAAACCTGATAATTGTGCAGGTAGCCTTTCTTTGAGTATAGGATCTTGCAAAAGCCACAAAAACTGAGCTTCCTTCTTGGTCAAAAAATCTATGGGTTGTACTAATCGAATCAAACCAGTGCTATATTCTGAATAAGTTGCATATCACTGTTGTTATTTGCAAGAATCATAGCTGCAGCAGAGCCCGCAACAATTAC